GGGGAGGGGATCAAAATTTTGAAGAGAGCAAAATTTAGTTCTCACCTCCATTGGGGGCTAACTTTTGTAAAAAGCCACACCAGTCGAAAATTTTGTGTCAGAAAAGTCAAAAAACAATTTTTTTGACATTTTCAAAAAGGAAAACGAAATCAACAGCGGCAACCTTTGACGCAACAGACCGCATGCATATGGTTGCGCTCTTGTCCCCCCTTCCCCCCCTCCCCGCTTTCCACCCTCTTCCCCTGGCTCCCTCCCTTCCCTGCTGCAACCGCTCACTACATCCGTGACTGTTAAAATGAACAGGTTTGACAAAGCAGGTTTGGGGGCAGTGATGGTTTAAACTTTGAACCCCCACTGCCTATTTTGTCGAACCAACAATTTTGAAATTTCCCCATGGAGTATGTGTCCCGTACCGGTTGTAGGCGCAGGCAGGCGGGGGTACATTGAAAGCGTACCCGCGCGCCTCCTTGTGCATGGCGGCCACAAGTTTTGGAGGAAGGGGATTATAATGCTAATATTGGGACTGGTCACTGGTGGCTTAAAGCACTAGTACACGGGACCCAGCCTTGCAGTCCGAAACTTGTCCCCACAAGAGAACGAGGCTGAAATTTCAAACGCTGGGCCCGCGGCGGTCTCGTTTTCGTTTTGCGCTTCCAGAATTCGAGGTGTCAGGCCCGCGGCCCAGGTGCCCATGTACTGGTGCATTAAGGATGGGGGGAGAGGGGGCCAAGCGATGTACGCCTTTTGAATTGTTTTTTTTTCATTTGTTTTGCTGAAGGTTTGCTGGGAATCTTTGAATTCTGAATTTTGGACATTATTTTTCAGGACCAACAAGAGGGACTGGCTCCGCAAGATCCGTCCCAAGATTTTTAACGGCGGATGGAAAGGTATGGCAGAGAGTGCAAAGCGGCGTCTGCGACATCACCCACGTGATGTGACCTCATTCAACGGTCGTGACGCATCCGCAGGCCTCCAGCATGGGGGGGAGGTTCCAGACTCATGTGGACATCGAAGTGAAGCTATGGCAGTAGGGGAGGGAGAGGAAGTAGCAGGAGGAGGAGAAGACGACAGCGATGAAGAGGAGGAGGAAGCTAGCACGATCCAGTGGGGCTCGGTAATGGTGGAAGGGCGATTCTTACCTAAGAGAGAGGGAGAGTCACTAATTTTGAAAGATTCGCACTTCAAGGCAGTGAGTATACTTACTCCGGTTAACGACCTATATCTATATCCCAGTCCTAGGTTGCCATGTTTTTTTTTTTTTAACTTCATTTTTTTTTTTCCGGGAAAGTTTTTGAAATGCCCCTCCGACTTGCATTTATTTGTGGCATGCCCCTCCAACAGCCGACTTACCCTGTCGTGTCCCTGGGGCCTCTGAAGCTTCCTGCATGCCCCTATCAGTGAGGGGTGCAACTTTCCAGGATGCCCGGGCCTGTGGCTGTTGGTGGTACTTGAGGCCATTCCCCTGGCCCTGGGAGGGGAGCTACCGGGGCATACTGGAAATTTGGAACCGGTACTGGCAGGGGCATAGTGAACATATTTCAGGCCCAAAGGACTCCAGGGATTTTTCCAAAACTTCGATTGTTTCAGAGGGGCGCGACAGGGTAAGTCAGCCGTCGGAGGGGCATTTCAAAACTTTTCCCTTTTTTTTCCCTCCTTTTTTTTTCCCCTCTATTTTTTTTTGAAGAGGATCCCAACCTCCCCCTCCTCCCCCTCCTCCCCCTCCTCCTCCTCCTCCCCTTCCTCCCCCTCTGCCCCCTCCTCCGCCCTTTGTCAGTTTGTCGCCGTTCACGTGTCCTCTTCCTCTCCATCCCTGTGTTATTGGAACCTCAATGCTTTGCCTTCTCTGCACCCATTCACTCTATCTCCTACTCATCTCTTATACACATCTAGATGTGTATAAGAGACA